AGCACTGGAAATGTGCTTAGTCTGAATTGAGATGTATTAAATGAAAAGTATCCTCCAGATTTCAGAGTTTCACATGAAAAAAAGGATGTAAAGCACCTCAATGTATTTTTTTTACTGATTATATGTTTACACAATATTCTGGATATACTGAAGTAAATAAAGCGTTATGAAAATCAATTTCACCCTTTTTTTCTACCTTTCTAATGTGGCTACTAGAAAATCTAAAATTACATGTGTGGCTCACATTTGTGGCTTGCATTCTATTTCTCCTGCACAGTGCTAGTCCAGAGAGCTTTAAACAACAAGCTAAGGAGTTTAATCCCTTGAGGCAATGAAACACTATTGAATGTTTTCAAACTTAGGTGCTTGTGGTAGATTTGGGGAGGGGACAGGAAACATAAACAAAGCACTGTTTCAGGAAGACTAGCGTGGGGGCAATCCCTAGCTTCAAGACACTAGAGGCAGTTGTCAATGTCAAAAGGCCAGCAAATGTCAAAGGGTAAAGCAGGCTCAGCTGGAAAGCATACAAGGTCTTTAGAAGTCCCACGCTGGGTGTAGAGAGGAGGAAGAAATCAAGAGCAGGGTGAGGTGAGGGAAGAGTAACAGCTGCAAGCACTGACATGAGCCTGGATAACCAAGGTGCACTGCTCAGTGGACTAGCAAGCCCAGCCCTGGTTTAGGTTTAGGTTAGACCTCAACTGGCTCAGTGGTAAAGGCTCCCAGGCGGAGGTGCAATTCAAGAGAACAAAATCGGTGTTCTCTTTAGTGATTTCAGATCTATCTCTATGTGGCAAGACCTCCACCAGTGGGATCAAGTCCAGAGAAGGTAGGAAGTAGAAAGCAAGGCTACCAGAAACTACAAGATAGCGATAAATTATGAAAGCAAAAGCCCAGACTTACAACACTGCCAGCAAATATTTACTGAGAGTTTGCGGTATGCCTGACACTTGGCTCGGCTCTGGAGGCATGGGAAGCAAAACAGACGTGGTCCTGAATCACAAACTGTAGTGAGAGCTATGAAGAAAGAACAGGAGCTCTGAGAGACCTAATTAAGGGTGGATGGGAGTAATGGGATGAGGTCATAAAGGAAAGACCCTCTGAAGAAGTGACAATTTCATCTGAACCCTGAAGTCAGGTGGGTAAAGACTAAGGGGGAAGAACAGCCCAAGCCAGGAGAGTGGTATGTACAAAAACCTTACGGCTGGAAAAGGCTTGGGTAATTCAAAGAATTGAAAGAAAGGCTGTGTAGTTAGAATGTCAGGAAGGCAGGTGGGCCATATAAAGGTGAGAGAAGGCTGGAGAGGCAGGCAGAGGCCAGATCTTGCGAAGCCTCAAAGGATGAAAAATAAAATCCTAAACGGGTCTGAGTGCAACGGGAAGCCGTGAGGGGTTTTGACCAGGGAAATCCTGATGGGTTCTAAGTGTTCCAACCACCTATGCTCTGCTCAGCCTACTAAACAGAAGCCGGCTTGGCAGCAAAGAGGCAGGACCCAGCATTCGTAGCTGAGTAGCAGGATACCTGGTCTGGGGTAAGAGTTTAATATAAGGCCCTTCAAGTGTTCCAGGGTTCCAAGGCTGGGAGAAGGACGGCACCACCAAAAAATATAGAAAAATCTGGTGGAAGAGCTGGTTTGGGAGCCATTAGCTGGGAGGCAAAGTTAGGCACAACTCTAAACATACTGGGTATGAAAGACTAGGGAAGAATTCCAGCAGGTAAATATGGATGTTGTTTAGAGAATGGAAGAGAGATGAGGCATGGATCCTCAGGTTAATAGACAGAAGTGATATAGTTTAAATCCCAAAAGTGAATAACATTTTCAAGGAGTAGAAAAAGAGAAAAAAAAAAAGACAACAAAAGGAGCCTGAGTTTGATCCTTAGAGTTAATTTCTCTCTGGGATGGAAGTCAGGAAAAAGGGCTCTCAAAAAGGAAAGAGCATGAGTGAGTCTTTTTGGAGTGATGGAACTGTTCTGTATCCTGATTATGGTGATGGTCACATGTATCTGTACATGTACTAACATTCACAGAAACATACACACACTAAAAGTCATTGTTATTATATGTTATTTTAAAAGTAAAATAAAAATGTTTTTAAAGGGTGGGGTAGTCAAAAGGACTGAGCTACAGGGAGACAGCACAGAACAGGATAAAGCCCGAAAGGATGCTCTGGGAAATTTAACCATTAAATTAAATGGCAACCTTGGAAAACGCCTCAGTGAGTGGTGGTGAGGTTAAAAGCCAGGCTGCAAAGGTTCAAGGATGACTAAGTAGTGAAGGGAAGCAGTCAGTATAGCCTCCTCTGTTAGAATTCTGGAGGTGAAAGGAAGAACAGAATGGCACAGGAGCTCAAACAGATGAGAAGTGGGAGATTAGCAAACTAGCAGAGCCAAACTTCCCAGACTCTATGAATTGCTCCATTTAAGTATTCTTCTAAAACATGCCTTTTGCACATGAGCTGTTCACTTTCTTATCGTCCCATTGAACTAAAACTGCTAAAATGAACCCGAAATCATGACATTTTTAACTCTGTTCCTTAGTCAACTGATATTTACTGTGCTCCTACTATACAGTAAGCACCCTGCTGGATACAAAAGTGAATAACGCCTGGGCCCTGGAAGAGCACACAGGATTAATCACAACAGCAAAGGTACTGGAGTGATCTGCACGAAGGGCTCTGAAAGCCTTGACCTCTGAATTAAACACATTTTAATTTATCTTTATGAAAAGTAAATAAGGAGGAAATTAAAGCAAAGCTTAGATGTAACACTAGTAAAAATGTTCCTAATTTCTAAAAACTAAGAATGAGTTTCTTAAGTTAGGTATGGGGAACCTAATCATCAGTCGCATTTCCCTTTTCCATCCCTCTCTGCTTTTCAGTGTACTCTGCATTTCTTCCTCTGGATAAGTTAGGGGGCAAAATGGGACAAGCACAGGCTTTGAAACCAAACAGACTTAAGACTAAACCGATGCCCTTGAACTTCCTAGCTCTGTGGCTTCTGGAGGCTCATAAAACAGTAATGATACCTACCCCGCAGGCTTAAGGTAAGAATTAGGTAAAAATATAAACAGGTTGGCATATGCAAAACACGCAAAAAATGTTAGCTTAGGGCCTCCCTGGTGGCGCAATGGTTGAGAGTCCGCCTGCCGATGCACGGGGCACGGATTCGTGCCCCGGTCCGGGAAGATCCCACATGCCGCGGAGCAGCTGGCCCCATGAGCCACGGCTACTGAGCCTGCGCATCTGGAGCCTGTGCTCCGCAATGGGAGAGCCCCGCGTACCGAAAAAAAAAAAAAAAAAAAGTTAGCTTAACATTATTACTACCATTTGAAGAAATGATATTGTTCTGATTTAAAACATTTTTAAGTGCTTCCATTTGAATGAGAAAAAAATAATCTTTTTTCCCCAAGGGCATGACATTTCTGTGCTACCTTAGAAAAGCAGCTTGGCAATTTTTTCTCCTTAAGTCCTATCAGGAACTATTTTGCTCAAATAATGATGTTTGGGACAAGCACTTAAAAACAGTCAACAACTAAGAAACTATAAAGGCATCATTATTATCATCACGGCATCCCAAGAGGAACAAGCCAGTCTGATTTGCGAACTGCATACTTGCCTTAGTGTATGGACCTACTACATTCACATCTCTCCTACTACATACCGAGTGGGACACTGCACACGTGTAGAGTTGTCAATGTTCTAAAAGTTCTGCTTTTTAAAAGGCATTTACAAAACACTACCAAAAGAATAAACATAGTTTCAAAGCCAAGATGCTTCTCCAAATCAATAGGAAACTATCATCCTACTGAAATTCCCCACAACTACGAAGGAAATAGCCTCTATTGTTAAACCTGCACAAAATGCTAAGATGTAAGATTTCTATACATCCCATTTCTGTTTGCTTAACTGCTGGCGCGGGGGGGGGGAGGCAGTAATTAATGACGTTTTACTCACTGACCATGGGGAAACATCTCTGGCCAACTTTGTTGTATAATTTTGCTTATATTGTAAGCAAATGGCCAACTTGAAATTCACCTTATCCCTCGCTTCAACCTCCAGCACAGACGCTAAAAAGTAATAAAACAGCCAAAAGATACATGAGAAAGCAAGCAGCCTGAAAAGACCCAGACTAGTTCTCGGTGCCCAAAGAACTGAGCATGTGCTGGTCCTTAAGAAGCCTGACAAGAGGCTACCTTTACTGGGTGTCTTCAGCCACTACAGTGGATTTAAGCCCACTGTGGAAACCCACTAGTTTGAAACCAAAGGGCGCAGGACCAGGGAATGCAGGAAACACTTCGGGCTGGTCGTCCGCTGATATTCCCCTCGCCCTCCTTTCCCCAAGGAGGTTGAATCGCCTCTCGAAGGTGGCCACACACGCAAGGCTCTGGGGGGAGGGGTGGGGGCGGCAGCAGGGGAACGCATTCACTCCGTCACGCAGGTCCTGCACACAGGTGGGGACCGGGAGGCTCCGAGGCCTGCCGCCTCCCTCTGCCACCGCCAGGCAGGGGCCCCGACGCGCCTCCGCGGGCCTCGGCTCTCCGCGGGGACCCCTCTCTGCCCCGAGGTCCCCCAGCGACGGGAAGCGAACTCGACTCGACCAGCCCACCCGGAAGCCCTCCCCCAGCTCACACCTGCCGGCGCGTGACGCCCGCAGTCGCGCTCGTCTGCCGGTCCCGGCCCGGCCATTCGGGGCGCCCCTTCCCCGCGAGCGGATGTCGCCCGCGTCCCTCCCAGCCCCGGGGTCAAACCCACCAGACGCCCGCCCCGCGGGGCGCGCGCCCAACGCCGCCACCCACGCCGACCCCGCGCGCTCACGCCCCTCCGGCCCTCTCCCCGCCGCGCGCGCTCACTCGCGAGGACACGCACACGGTGCGCCTCAGCTTGACAGGCCGACCCCGCGCCGCGCGCTCCCGCGGGCGTCCTCGCCCACCCGGCCGGCCAGCTCTGACTGGGCGGTGAGCGGGGGAGGGGAAGGGCGGCGGTGGCCGTCGGTCCTCACTTACCACTGAGCCGTGCCGGCTCCAAGTGCGCGGCGTTCCGCTGTGAGGCGATGCGCCGCGATGCGCGCGGTCCCCGCTTCTCTGCAGGCTATGGAGGCGACGTAGTAGAGGGACTGAGGGGCTCGGGGGGAGTCACTCCCTCCCGCTTCACCTCCGAGAAACACGGGGACCCCAGAAACTAAAAACAAAATAAACAAACTTTCCCCTCCGCCTCCCTCCCCCAAAACCACAACACAAACACTCGGGGGCCCGCCCAGAGCCCCACTCCATTGGCCGCAGGGAGGATGCTGCCGGCCCTCACTGGCTGGCTTTTGTGCCCGTCAAGCTGCCGTTCCGCCCCTCCAATTTCTCCCAGCTGCCGTCGCCCCTCATTGGTCAAATGCGTTCCGTTTGACGAGCTACGATTGGCTGAGCTGTCTGCGCCAATCATTCGGGGACACACCCCCTCAGCATCCCAGAGACCTTTTCCTCGGTCGCGGACTCGGAGAGGCGAAGGGGAAACTAGAGCATGATGGCGGCCGAGCTCACTTGGCGCAACCATCGTCTTTTTCCTTTTATTAGCTCATTAGTGCCTCGCCCTCGCGCTGTTTCACCTAACCTCCTCTCTCCGTCCAGTACTGCCAATTAACGGAATCTATACGTCCCGGCTCCTTGATTTATCCCCGCCGAAGTGCTGAGTGTGGGCTCGTTGTGAATCATTGGACTGTCAGCGTGTCACTCCCTAGTCAAATCTTCAAACTATTGGTGGAACAGCAAGCAAGTCCGTCCAACAACAAGGGCTAATGCCATTGGTTTGTCTCCACTGAGTTCTTTCCTGGTACCTTATTGGGCAAATAGGCGCGTCGGTCAGATCTGGATTCGCTGTGCTGTGGTTAATTGTTTGCTAGGGAGTTTGGATGACTCCCATCATTTGGCCTGTGGTTGACGATAGTAACGATTACCATTTATTGCATGTCCGCTTTGTGCCAACCATGCAGAGTTCTTTACAAGGACTATCGGTTGAACCTGTGAGTTTTACGTTCTCTAAATTTTACAGTTAGGAAACTGAGGCTCCAGAGAGGTTAGGAAATTTGCCCAAGGTCACCTAGATAGGATGTAGTTGGTAGGCAAGCATTTGGTCCCAGGTCTGTCTGACTCCAGAGCCTTCGCTCTTTTCACTGTACTTTAGTGCCTTTCCCTTAGCCTAGAATCGTACCCAATCAGCTAACCCAACATCTTCAAAAGCTTTCAATCAGAACCTAAATTCCTCAGTTTCTGGAGGTGACATTGCTGGGGACTAAAGCTATGGAATAGGCTGTCATTGCCTCCACTGCATCCTCTTCTCCAGCACCCATTCCTCCCCACCCTGAATTAAACAGTCTTGGTGATTCCTGACCAGAAGCCTATCTACCTTTATGTTCATTTTCTAGGCTTTATAAATAAATGGACACTTCTACCAGCCTTCTGTTTCAAGCCTACTTTCCTGACCCACACCCATCCATCTCCAGCTCACTCTCTTTTGAGAGAGTCCTCAAGAGGCAGAAACAAGAAGAGAATCTAAAGAGAGAAAAAGAATAAATCGGTTTAGAAATAAATAATTTACTGTATGCAAACGGAACAGCCCTTCGGCTCCTGGATAGCTTCCAGAGTAGCCCCTGATGCTGTGCAAGACAAGTGCTCCTGGCTTGTGGCCATTGGATTCTTTGTGGCCGCTTTCAGCAAAGTGAATCCAACATTCCAGCCAGGGGAGGGCAGAATGCTTAGGACCCACTGCCAGAGAGCCGGCCCCAGGCTCTGGGACTGAAATGATCTCCAGGAGCACAGTGCTGGACGATAGCCTGCATTCCGTCTCGGGTAATTAACATTTTACCATCCCAAATCCCCACCCCCTGTAGCTTCAGTGGGATCACTGCCCTTGTTTCCTCTCCTGATCCAAGCTGTTGTGTAACCGCATTGGCACTGCTTTAATAATAAAACAACCACTGTAACACAGTAATAGTGCTCAACACTTATAGCCTTTCAGCAGAGGAAGATAAGTGTTTCACAAACATCAATTAAGATTAAATGGCAGGTATTCCTAGGGCAACTGCCAGCAGAAGGACAGAAGAAAATTCATGAGTCAAATTCTAAGAAAGGTCCTAAGAACCTGAATCCTTATAACTACATACCCCATACTAGCATTCCAATATGGGGATTCTGAACCAGAAAACAAAAAGAATGAGAAATGGTCAGTGTCCCAAAACTTCCTTATTTTCATAGTTGGTTGTTTGTAACTCTATTTTTAACCCTTAAACTAGTTTTTATAGTTTAATTGTTGGACATACCTGTCTCCCCAACTTAGTTTAAAGTTCCTTGAAAACAAATGATTTCTTTTTCATTTTTGTATGTCTCGAATTGCTCTGATTATATAAGGTTCCCCCAATAAATAATTATTCAGTAAATATTTATGGAGCTAGTTGGCACTTTCCTAAGGTACAGAGGCTGCACAGATGAATAAAACACGTCTGCCTTTAGGAACCTCGATTTAGTGGGGGTGACCAACAGGTAAACACAGTGCAGATGGCTTGGAGGGACATGGGACTCAATCTTGGAGAGACAAAGATGGCTACCCTGAAGGTGTGACATCTACAAGAACTAAAGGATGAATTGTGATTACCTAGGCAAGAGACTGGGGATGTGCGGTGACCTGCAACGCTCGCTCTCTAGGGCCAGGGAGCAGGATAGGAATATCCAGGAGTGGCCAAAGCCGGTGCTTCCTATAAGATTGCTGTTTTTCTGATCATAAAAGTAACATTGAGTAAAGATTTCAGACAATACAGAAAGTTTTAAAGTAGAAAATAAAATCTCCCTCAAATCCCACTACTAGAGCCAACCGCCATTAAGGAGAGTATCTTCCCAGACTCTTGCGTTACACGGGCCTCTCACTGTTGTGGCCTCTCCCATTGCGGAGCACAGGCTCTGGACACGCAGGCTCAGCGGCCATGGCTCACGGGTCTAGCCGCTCTGGGGCATGTGGGATCTTCCCGGACTGGGGCACGAACCCGTGTCCCCTACATCGGCAGGCGGACTCTCAACCACTGTGCCACCAGGGAAGCCCCCAGACTCTTTTATGAATAGACCCGCACATGGATTTCTTCCAACAACAGTGGGGTGTGGTTTAGGGTCTTGTCTGTACTTTGATAGCTCTCATTGCTCAGAACTGCAGCTTTGGATGGAACCTGTTCTCACTTTCTATACTTGCGGGAAGAAAGCCAATAAATCAACTAAATGTTTATCGTGGAGGATGATGGTTTCAACTTCCTGTCGCAGCAAATGACAGATCATCACCTGTTACAGGACTTTGGGGCTTGCTCAGCCTAGTGTGGAGTCAGTGCATGGTGGGGAGGAGAGGGGGCTGCAGTACTCACTGCCCGAGGGCTTACAGGCTGCTTTGGTGGCTGTGGAGTCCATTCCTGCCCTGAAAAGGCAGCCCAGGTCAAAGAATGACATGCTAGGGTGCTCTCCTTTGCTCTCTTTCTCGTTTCTTCTCTGCATTCTACTTGCGGTAAATATTTTGTGTTTGTTTGTTACAACACACCCAGCTTTGAGAGTAAAAAGACTCGCCAAGCCCTGCACACTCGTATGCAGGCCAAGTGCAGTATGTTCTTGGAGCGCTATACTATTCTTAGAGCTCTATATGTGGTGTTCTATACAGTTGGCTTTTTGCTGGAGGGGAAGGCAGATTTAATGAGTGATAGCTGCCTTGGATGGCTACCAAAAGTGCTCTAAGCCATTCCAAGCAACAGGCCTTCCTTTCTTCCCTTGAGAGATTGTTCTGTGATCCCTGAACACATTGCATTGGCCTGGACAAAATCCAATACAAGGGGAATTTCTGCAAACAATTCTGCAATGACCCACAAGCTTGGGGTGACATAGCCAGCTGGATCGGCTCCAGCTCTGATTTCTGTGGCACAGGAGAACTCCCTTTACCCTTTGCGCTGGCCTCTCATTTCTGTGAGACATTTGGAAGTGTTTATAATGCAGTCTCTGGTTCTCAAACTTATAATCATGGGAAGATTCCCTGTCAAAGAACTAAATCCAGAAGACAAGAGGACAGCTGACAGCTGATCTGGCTCACTTGGGAAGTGGGTGTGGCCACAGCCAAGGCCAATAGCACTGGGGGAGGGGAACTTTCTAGAGGGTGCTGATTACAGAGGACACGCTTATAAGAATTTATTACGTTTGGTAGCATTTATTGTGCAACAAAGCCCTTGTGACAGAAGCTGTGCTGCCTCTAAACCACCTCTCATTTCTTACAACCACACTTCCTGAAAAGCTCCTAGCGAAGCAGCAAACACTGGACCCCTCCTGTGTGCTGGCCAATGCTCGACCCCCAGGAGGTTCACAGGAGAACCGGATGTGCTGTTAATAAGAGCTACCCTTTCGTGAACACCGATGTGTGTCAGACACTGTACTGAGGGCTTTACATGGATCATGGCAGTTAACCTTCACAACAACCATGGTTATCCCCATTTTCCAGGTAGGGAAACTGAGGCTCTGAAGGGCTGACTAACTTGCCCCAGGTCGCCACAGTTAATAACTTCAAAGCTGAACCCAGGCCCTCTGCCTCCAATGAGTCAGCTCTTTTCCATGCTGTTATGTTTCCCAGAGGCGTCTATGTCGGAACTGCCACAGTGCCGCTGGAGAGACAACCAGCCCCCAAATGAACAGTCGCCCTCATAGCCTTTATGAGCTCAACCCCATGCTCTTTTCCCTACAGACTCAGGGAAAGAGGCGCACCTCTTCCTGGCTAAATTACTGCCTCTGATGGTCCTTCCTCAGCATCCAGTTGGGATCTGGCTCCTCTCCCACCCTCTTCAAAATAGCCTTCCTTCCTGCCTGCCTGCCCTTTTCCCCTCTTTTTCCTTTTCTCAGTGTCTTAAATAATGCCCTGTGGCCATATCCACCACTGCTGTTCCGTATCCTGGCTTCCAGCCCTAACTCTCTACTGAAACTCGTTTCTCTAAGCTCAGCTATGACCTCTTTGTGGCCAACATCCAAGAGACTTTCTTAGTCCTTGTTTCCATGGCTTCACCACTATGTTTTACTCTGAAAATCTTCTCTTGGTTCCTCAAAATAGCCAGCTCCCCTCCTACCTCTACAACTGTTCATGCTCTTTTTCATATCCCCTCTCTCTCTAAGCTCCTTCTATGGAGTCTTTCTCTCTCCTCTCCTTATGTTGCCTTCCGGGGCTGTCGTGGTGGGGGGTGGGGGGTGGGGAGTGGGGGTGGAGAGCTGGGTCGTTGTCCTGCCTTCACCTCTGAGATCGTGATTTTCATTTCTCCGTCCCCAGCCGTCATTCTGCAGGCCACTTGCTGTGTGATCGATCGTGTGCAAGTCACGTAAACTGTCTGAGCTTCAGTTTCCTCATTTCTAAAGTAAGTGTACTGAAGCCGATTTGTTATTCTAGACTCTAAGATAACAATAAAACCTCAAGTTTGTAAACACATGCTATGCCAGGCAGGACTGGCAGTGCAAAATGAAAGCATGGGGCTCCTTGTTCCAAAATTGTTAAGAATTTCAAGACAGCAACAGCAGAGCATTAAACCAAATGTGGGATCCTTCGCCTCCTGGGTGCAGGGCCCATGGGAGCCCGCAAGTTGCATGCCCATGAAGCTGGCCCTAGTGCCAGGCACTGCTGTAATTATATAGGTATTGACTTACTCAATCCTCATAACAATCTTATGAGGTAGATACAGATGAGGACACTAAGGCAGAGGGAGGTTAAGTAACTGTCCGAGGTCGCATTTTTTAATTGGTAGGGCTGAGAAAATTTACACCTGTTGGTTGGAGTAGTTGTGAGATTCATACCGTGAAGAATGGTTCCCTCCCGGGGGTCCCCTCAGGAGGACTTCCTGGTAGCCTCTCAGCGGGCCTATGCCCATTGCTTCCTCAGCGAGTTTGCCAGCCCTCGGATGCCCCTTTCTCTGTCCCCTGTTCCGAGGTCTACACTCCCTTCAAAGCTCAGTTCAAGCCCCTTTTCCTCTCAGGGGCTTCTGGAACAGAGAAGCCAGACCCACATCTCCTTCCCCCTAAATCCTCTCAGTACCCTGTGTAGAGTCAGGCCCAGCCCCGGCCTGGCCATGGGGATTGTTCATAGGCATGGGTGAAAACTAACAACTCCAGAATTTGTTAGGAAGAGGGCTCAGCGGCAGCAGTCTGGTTGAGGGTGGGGTACTGGGGGAGTCCTCTTGGCAGGACAGTGGCAAAGTAGGGAAGGGTCCCAGGTGTGACAGTTGGGGGTTAGTGCTGGGAGCCTGGAGGAAAGTGGCCGGGGGCCGGGGGTCCAGCGGCCTTGCAGGCCAAATCCAGCCACTGCCTGTTTTTGCACAGCTCTTGACCAAGAATGATTTTTATATTTTTTGAATGGGTGGTAAAATTAAAAGATGAATAATATTTTGTGACACACGAAAATGAGACGAAATTCAAATTTCAGCGTCCCCAAAATTTCACTGGAACAGCCACGCCCACTCACTCGCATCGTACTGGTGGGCTTTAGCGCTGCAGCAGCAGCAGCGGTCGTGACAGACCCCGCATGTCCCCAAAGCCTAGAACATTTACTATGTGGCCATTTACAGAAAGTTTGCCGAGCGCGGGCCCTGCCTTCTTTCTCTACCCTGAGGAGGAAAGCAAGGCGCTGCGAGCGGCCGCCAGGTGTCAGCATCGCCCCGCGTGCTCTCAGCTCCGCGCTCCGCGGGGACCCGCAGCCTCGGGTTCTGCGCCCCGGCCCGCGCCGGTCCTGGGGCTCCTCCCGGTCCATCCGGGGAGACGCCGGCTGTCGTCGCCGCCGGCGAGTGCGCGGAAAGGGCTGGAAGAAAGCTGAGGAGGGTCTGGAGCCGCACGGGGGTTCAGGACTGGCTCGTTAGCCCGGTGGCTTGGCGCGGGTCGGCAGGCTTTTCTGATGTGCTATTTGTTTGGTTTGGGTTTAATTCGTATTTTATATATGAAGGAGTCTCCAAACACACAAAAATTGTTTATTTTTACCCAAAACTATCAGTCAAGAAAAGTTTGGGGCTTTTGCACAACCGGATAAGGCGGTGGCCCTCTTCCAGGCCCCCTGATAACAGACCTACAGAGCTGAGGGGGGGCCGCGGGGGTCAGCGGTCACCGGCGTAACTCAGGCCCTGCTGAGCCGAGGGCTCACAAGTGGCATCTCTGGGAATTTTCTCCATCTTTCTTTCAAAACCTGGGCCTCCTAACTTCTTCCAGGTGGATGAGCATTTAGGCCGGTGTGCCAAGTACTGGACATGAAAGTGGCCATTTTACCGGGAGGGAGCAGGGTAGAGAATCCAGAAGAGAATGTCCCGAGAGGGAAGTGATAACCCCCCATGTAACACAACGGAGGCAGCAGCCTTTACAGAGCTCCTCCTCTACGTCAGCCGCTGTGCTGAGGGCTTTACTCCCCAGGGCCTCTTGAGGGTGGTACCAGGATTATCCCCATTTTACCTGGATGGATGTGGAGCAGCTTACAGGGTCATTTAGCTAATATGTGGCGGAGTGGGGAATCCAGCCCGAGCCTGCCCGTTCTGCACTGTCCTCTTGCTGCTGCAAGCCTCAGCTAAGATCACAGCAAGCAGGTTGACCCCCCCCACCCCCGCTCCCACCGCCGCTGCCCTAAATCCGCGATGGCCTGCCTCACCGTTCATCCCCAGGCCTAGTGCACAGTATCTGCTGAGTGAACAAATGTATAAAGCCTTCCAAGTACTGCAGTGAAGTGCCTCTCCTTGTTCAATCGCCCAACTTCCAAGGCCTTCCAGGAGGAGACCAGCCAGGGTGTCCATGCTGCACTCAGGAAATAAGGGTCACCAGGCACGGTTCTTGGCTCAGCACAGGATGGGATGTGCTTTTCCCTTGCTCGTGCCCAGAGGACCGTAGCCTCTGCAGGCATACTGCCTGTCTTGCCCTTTCCTCCCTTCGTCCTCCAGGCTCCCCACACACTTGCTGCCTTCTGTGGCAGGTCCTAGCTTATCCCTATGACATGGACATCTGTTCCTAGAGCTGCTTTATAGTGGCTGCAGACAGTGCCTACCTTCTAGCCACTTTTCTGATGAAAACTTGTCTCCAGCTGGCTGTCACTTGGAGAGGCCACATGATGCAGTGACAGTGCCCTCCTAGAGGGTCCGGATAACCAGGTTCTAGCCCTTCTCATGACTTGCTGAGTGACTTTGGACAGATTTCCTTACCTCAAGGCCCATCTCCTCCTCCCCTGCTTTCGTGCTAGCCTTTGAAAGAAGCATGCGGACAGGGTCATCCGTGAGCAGCCAGAGAGGCCTGGAGACCCGGGTGGCTGGGAGATGAAGACTGTCTGCTGAGGACACGCACTGAAAGGAGAAGCCTTCCTGGAGGAAAGGATTTGATGAGGAAGGACTTCAAAGTCCTTAAGAAATTAAATCCTGTTTGGCTTCCATGTACAATTTCAGGAGTCAGGAACAAAAGTGAAAGGGTTATGATCAATGGCAGAGCCTCTGACACCGTCCACATTGATTAGCCTGACTTATTCCCTGTATCACATGGTTGTCAAGTGTTCAATCATTTAATGAGTCATTATTAAGCAGATACTGTGGATACGATAGTGAGGCGGAAAGACAGTGTCCTGGTCTCCAGGCACAGAATGGGTATCTGTCGTGCCAGGAAGCAGCAGAAGCTGTCAGAAGCAGGGCCTTCCTCGGTTCGGAGCTGGGAAGGCAGAAGCTTCGCCGAGGAGGGGTGAGAAGTTCAGGCCTGCCTAACTTTTCAAAGCCTTCTGGCTGATCCAACGATGACTCGCCCTGAGAACACTCTCACATCTGCGCCTGCCACCTCTCAACCTTTCCTAAGGTGCGCGTCCTCTCAAGCTTGGTTTGGCTCAGCTCGCTGAGCCCGGGATGCCTGTTCTGTACCAGACCTCCTGCCACTGGAACAGCAGTGCAGACAATCACAGGGACAGCCGCTGGGTCCTCCAGGCAGGGAGGAATGACGGTGGTGCACAGCCAGGTGATAAACTATATGTGTGGTGCATGGCAGGGCTCAATAGCTGCTAAGGGGGCTTTGTCAGAACGGAACGTGGTTGTGGTACCCCAAGTAGCAATCCCCACCTGGCCTGCGTTGAGGAGCGTGGAAGTCTCTCTACCGTCGGCCCTGGCTGCCTTTTGAGGTGAGGACACTGCTGGGCACACACGGGAATGTCCAAGGGTACTCTCTGTGTAGGACTTTAACTGGGACTGAAGGAAGGGGAACAGATTGGGAGGAAACGTGGCAGGGCTCTGGGTGGAGTAAGACAGATGTGTGCATATAAACATACCTGTTCCACAGAGTCCAAGGCGGGCAAGAGCTAAGCAAGGTAACCAGAACAAGGACGGAAGATGCTATTGTGTCGGTCACAGAAAGCAAAATCTTTGGCAAGTCAGCCAGCCTCTCTGGGCCAAAGAGATCAGTCAAAGAGAACTGTTTTGCAGGATGTAAGCACAGAAAGCAGCTCAGGCAGGAGCCCGTGGCCCTTCAGGGCTCAATGCAAAGAGCTCTTTCTCAACTGGGGCGATTCTACCCCCCAGGGACACTTGGAGATGTCTGGAGACATTTTTGGCGGTCTCATCTGAAGGGGTGCTACTGGTAGTTGGTAGGAAGAGGCCGGAGGCGCTGCTAAACATTCTACCACGTGTAGGACAGCCTCTCCTCCCACAGAGACTTTTGTATCTGAAGTGTCACTGGCGTTGAAGGCAGGAAACCCTGAGTTGGGGGGGCAGGCTAGATCTGCACTTTATGTGCTGTAGGATTTGGGGAGAACAACGCACCTCCTCATCTGAAAAACGGGGGTGGTAAGACCCAAGCTGCTCATCACACAACTTCGTGAGGCTCCATCTCCAAATACGCAGGAGAACTTTCTGTTAACTTTGTAAAGGGCCTCTTCCCGAGCTTTTCTTAGTTTGAAACCTGCAGGTGACTGAGGGAGGCATCTAGCACGGTGACTAGCATATAGTAGGTGTTCAATAAATTAAAAAGAGGAAAGCATCATAGCAAAAAAAAAAAAGTCTCCCCCGTAACCCCTCCCCTCCCCCCGGGCCCGTTTCCTCCATATCTCAAGGCTGTCTTTGTGGTCCAGCTTTTCTATTAGGGTCCAAACAGGCACGGGATACTGCTGTTGGCAGAGGCGGTCTCAGAAGCACCCCTGAAGGATCAGGGCTAGGGCTAACCATACCCCAAGGACAGCTGACAATGAGACTGGGAAGTTTTGCCAATGTCATGGGAAAGCCTCCCAGCTCCGTGCAGGGGTCCTGGGCTTCCTGCTCCTACGGGGCGAGGTCTAGGGTGGCAGCAGCCCTGGGGTCTCAGCCCTCAAGTGCCTCTGCTCATCTGAGGTCGGCCTCTCAAGGAGCTGTGCCATTTGTTGGCACTCAACCTACAGAGGCCGTACTCAGAAAGTGGGCAGCTTGGTGGTGGGGTGAGATGGGACCAGCGAAGCCAGGCCCCGCACCCAGAGTACTGTTCCACCCCTGTTCCTCCTGGAGCCCCTCTGATGTTACCAGCCTTGTGGAAGCTGCTGCAGAGGGGCCAAGGGCATGATCCATCCTTGAACTTGCCATCCAACTGGGAAGGCCAGATGTCCCCTTGAGATTTGATGACAGAGAGACTGTTTCACAAAGCATGTGCAAAGTGCTGGAACAGAGGGCAGACGCACTAAAAAGTGAGAAGCCGAGAGGCAGGACGGAGGGGCTGGAGTTCAGGCAGACAGGCTGCATTTGAGGTCTTCAGGATCCTCAGCCACCTTTGGACTCTCGTCTCTTCCCGAGCATCTTAGAGCTGGAGGGGGTCAGAGACCACCTCGCTGAAACCTCTGTAAGGAAGGGGAGAGGTGCCCCACCTCACAGGCCAGCACTCTTCCCGTGACACTGCGTTGCTTCCTTTTCAACACATGGTCTCCCATCCTGCTTGGTTTCTCTGAAGAGTGAGAATGACCCCACGCTGGTGCAGGGAGAAGCCGGGGCAGGACGGCCAGCCAGGCTCAAGGCTGCAGCGACTTGGAACTTCCAGTCCAGAGCCTCCTGCATGTGAAGGCAGGGGAGGAACCGGGCTTGCTTTGGGTCAGGAGATGGGAAAGGGATTACGTGGGCCTGCTTCTCTCGCAGGCGAGGCACAATCGCTTAGGAGCTGGTCCCCTCCTTTGGCCTCCCCACTTGCCCCAGAGGTGTCCACTCTGCTCACCAAGAGTGCTCTCTCCACCCAAACACTTTGAGCTGAGGTGTAACCCCTGCCCCTCGTGTTCCACCTCCCTCTCCCTTCCCCTCCAGAACAAGCAGGGCCACATCGCCAGGCCTTAGTGCATAAGGAAGCACTTCCCAGCAAGGGTTTAATCCTCACAGACGCTCATGGAGGTGGGTCAGGGTCCCTCACCCCCCAAGAACCAGGTTCACCCTTCCTTCCCCTGCCCCTCCCACCACCCAGCGGGGAGGCCAGGCTCCTCTCAGGATGCTCGCTGGTCCCCTTGCTCCCTCTCCCGTCAGGCGCTAGCAGGCACCGGGGCCCCGCCCCAAGGTGCTGCTGGTGCCCCAGGGTTTTGCAGAAGGAAAGGTGTGAGGACGAGAGTTTGGCTCAGAAGCAGGAGGCTGAGTGTGGTGCTTTCTCAGGCACTGCAGCCCCCAGCTCTCCAGGTCTACAGCCCCCGGCCGGAAGCAAGGCCAGCCACCCCAGCTCTCCAGGCCTCCAGCACCCGGCCGGAAGCAAGGCCAGCCACCCCGGCTCTCCAGGCCTCCAGCACCCGGCCGGAAGCAAGGCCAGCCCCCCGCTCTCCAGGCCTCCAGCCCCCCGCCGGAAGCAAGGCCAGCCACCCCGGCTCTCCAGGCCTCCAGCCGCCGGCCGGAAGCAAAGCCAGCCACAGAGCCTGCGGTTCGGCAGTTTCCCGGCCGTCCATTCAAGAACTCTCTCCACAGGTCCTCTCAGTCACATGCGTGAAGAGGGGGTGGTGTGCGATTTTCAGCTGGTCTTCCTGGCCTGGCGTCATGGCAGTTAGGCCAGGTCCCTAAGAAGCCAGGGAGGCTCAGGCTCCTCAATCCAGTCTGACTTTGGCAGGAGGCCAAGCCTGGTCTTTGGCTGACATAAAACTAGAGAAGGCACATAAGTCCTGGCTGGTGAAGGGACTGAGGGCCATCTCTGGGGTGGGAGGAGGGCAAACACTCCTGGTGACAGGGCCCAGCCTCCAGCACCACCAAAACATCAGCCAGGCTCTCTCTCTCCCTACTTTGGGCTGCAACTCAAGGCAAAAAACGGGAGGGAGTCGCCTCAGGTAAAGGCCTGAGCAAAACTGCCAGATGGGCTTGCAGCAGGCGATAGCCAAGGAGGCCCGGACCACCCAGGGCAGAGCCTGCCAGGATGCTGCTGGGGGAGGGAAAGGAGACCTCAGCACAAGGGCTCTCAAAAGGGCAGGGTCAAATTCTGCCCTTACTGCATTCAGAGTCTACTGCAGGAGCCTGAGGGACAGGCCAGGACGGCCACGCCAGGAAGGCCACGCCAGGACGGCCACAGCAGCCAGCCCCAGCCGTCCTCGCTGCATCTTCCACCTTGAGTTCAGAAGCTCAGGCGAGACTGGATCCCGGGCTCAGAGCCCTGTCCTCGTCCCTTCTGTTCCACCAAACCTCTTGGGGGACCAGCAGCACCAGGAAGCCCAGGGAAGGAGAAGCCAGGGGGCTGGGGCTGCCCCGGAGACCCCATCACATTAAGGTAGAAAGACATGGACTCACCCCATCTGGGGGCCTGCAGGGCAAGGTTGGCCCAGTGGAGGGAGGGGGCTGGGCATAAAGGAGAGCAGACACTAGTCAAGCTTCCACTTCATGTAAACAAAGGGTGATCCCCCCTGCCCGGCCACGACAGTCTTGTGGAGGCGTGTGATTGTCTTGAGATGCTGCAGACCCTCACATCTGGGATACAGGGTCCCTGAGGCCAGGATGGAGGCTGCTGGGGCAGGAGGCCACTAGGCGTCCGATGTGCAAATCGGTGCAGGGTTTGACCTGTGTCTCCACAGGACAGGATGGGGGCATCCACAGGTCCTGCCAACAGCTGGCCCGCAGCTCACAAAATCACACAATTGCTGGCCTTGGCAGGACTGGAACTTGTTTTACCTGCAGAGACAAGGGACACAGGCGAGGGAGGATGTAGGTAAAGTGCTCCCTGGGCTGGCCTCCAGCCCCTCTACTATGCACTGCCCACACCGCAAATTTGGGTGGTTGGGTCACTGTCTGCCTCCCAAGCTGCTGAAGCCAGGTCAGTAGGTCCTCAGAAGAGCAAAAGGAAAGATTCTCCCTGTCCTGACAGCCTCAGCAAGACCACCACTGGTTGGGGCATCAGGGATCTGCCATCTTCTGACCTCAGCGGGGCGATTCATCAGTTACTAATACCCTATGCTGCGTCACAGCTCACAAGCGCGACCGCAGTCACTGTCGGTGACCCTCAGCGTGGCCCTGCCGCAAGGGGGCATCCTCGGCCCGACCTGACAGTGGGGGACAGGGGGGCCAGTAGCCCCCAGAGCTGGGCAGCGCCTGCGCCACTGCCTGCTCTGCCGAGCCCCACCTCAGCTCTTCCCACCACTCAGGCCGCCGACGTGGAAGGGGCAAAGCGGTGCCTCAGGAGGGGCCACTAGGCTGACCTGGAGGGAGCCAGGCATGGTGGCGCGGACCCCAGGCTTAGGGGCGCGGGGCACACCCTTCACCAAGAAGAAAGAGGTGGAGGCACAGCTCTCCTCTTCCCAGGCCCCTTCCATCCGTGTCCACTGCCTTTACACCCCAAGCAGAGGCTGGCTGTGTTCCTGCCCTCAGACCAGCGCCTCGTGTCTGCTGCGGGGAGTCCTCCTGGGGCGCTGGCCGCTGTCTCCTGGGCGGCCGCTGACCTCTTTCCTGCCGGTTCCTCTCCACACCGCCAGGGCCAGGGTCATCTCCCGGCACTCACACCACCTTCCGGTATCACCTCAGCTGTGAATTTCACGGAGGTGGTGTTGGCCTCCTCTCCCGGGCCATTAGCAAGAGAGACGCTGAACAGGCCTGAGTAGGGCCCTTCCCTGCCCGGCCGGTGGGGCCCAGGCCTCGGGACTTGCTGCGGGTCCAGCTGAGCCTCCCTGGAGGCCGTTCTGAGAGCAGCTAGAGCGTTGATGAGGTGGGAAGGGAGCCAGACGGTGATGCCTGCCTCCCTGTGGCTCCAAGGGCCCGGAGCTGGGTCAGCCTCCAGCCTCCTGGGGCGCTGAGGCTGCCTCCGCTGCCCTTCCCGTGCCGCAGTCCCCTGGCTGCCGCAGGACACGTCCGTCCCCACTTCCTGTCCTCAGCGGCTTGCTGTACTTGCTTGGCCTACTGGGCAGATGCCGAGTTTCTCCCCAGAGACAGCAGAATTTTGGAGGCAGGTGAGAAAAGTCCTCTGGGCTCCCGAGGCCAGGGAGGAGTGGCCGCGTGGGCTGGGGGCAGCCGGGGCAGAGCAGGTTTGCGGCCAGCTCCCCACACTCCCACCCACTCTCTGAGGCTGGATGCGAGCCTGGACACGGGCCTCTCGCTCAGAATTCACCTCCACGCCTCTGACGGGAGGCCGGGCTGAGGACCAAGCCCTCGAGCCCACCCCTCCCGCGGCGCACAGACCGGAGCCCGCTGCCGCCTGCAGCACACGCTGTGGCCAATCACACCTGCTCAGATGAGTGGAGGAGAATCTATCAACAGCCCCACATTTCTACTTTTTACAAAGTGTATGTGGCACGGGCGGCCCAAAGGAGGCTCATGAGAGAAAGTCAAATTTCAAAGGAAGAAGTGAGACTGGACATGGGGGCGGGAAGTGGAGGAGAGGCGGCCTCAGGGAAGGCCTGGAGCATCGGGACCCGGTCCGATGGTCAGGACCTGGCTGGTCCGGCTCGGCAGGCAGGAGAGGGGACAGTGGTGTGGAGGGCTCACAAGGACAGTGAGCTCTACCTCCCTATAGGCTTCAGGACCTCACACTCCCCTTTTCTGGAAGATTCTTCCCCTGGATGTCCACATGGTTCTCTGCTTCCCATCATTCAAGTCTCTGCTCAAATGCCCCTTTGTCAGAGAGGCCTTCCCTGATCACTCTTCAGGAGAAGGTCCTTGCCGTCCCTGTCCCCCTCCCAGTACATAAGAGCAGGGGCAAGCTCACTTTGTCCACTGCTACACCAGGAATTTAGGACAGTGCCTGGCACAGAGCAGACACCGCACAGATAGACATGTGTCGAAAACAATGCACGATCAGGCAGCAGCAAGCTACGTAAGGGTTCACACCAATCTAATAACAAGAGCAACTGCAGTGGCATCAGTGGGTGGTGACCGGGTGACGTACGTGCCCTCACTCACCTAGATGGTGATGGAAGCCCCAGCCAGGCCCGAGAGACCAGCAGGGCAGGGGATTTTGACATCTGCCAACGAGACTAAGGACGCCTGCCTCTTCTCTGGAGCCCAGTGGGATCAGCTCCTCGAAGGATGCCCATTCAGCTCCCCTCTTCTGTGCCATGTGACCGAGACCTTGGCTGGTAACAGTGCTCAGGTTCATGGAATCAGAGCATGGCCTGAGAACATCAGCTGGGGTCTGACCTCAGGAGCGACACTGAGTTTTGGTACTCCATCTTGGCAAGACAGCTGCTGAGTAGGCTTACCCTGGAACTGAAGGCCCACAGGTCCCTTATGGAGCTCTGAACCCCAGCAGCACCTCCCCAGCCTTCCATCCCAGGCAGGGGCCCAGCCTTCCAGGAGAGAGATCTGAGACCTCCACCCCAGGGATGACACAGGCAAGTCTGAAGTTCCCAAATCCAGGAGCCAGCGAGCACAGCGCTAGGAGCCAGACCACACTGCCAGCTAGGGTGGCCCATCCACGCACCACTCAGGGGAACCTGGGAGAGTTCTGGCAAGGCAACTGTGGCTGCAGTCACCTCAGAGAACTCTGGGAACAGAAGCGTGGGCTCAGGGGCCCTCGGAAGGTGGTGACCCAGAGGCACTCTCCTCTTCCTCTGTACCGGGGGTGGGGTGGGGGGCGGGGAGTCAGTCATGTACTCAGGCCTCTGGCCCTTCCAAACAGCCTTTAAAGACGTAGGTAGCTGGTGTCAACCCTAACCTTCCAGAGATGACCATAACGCTCTGGCAGGCCCTGGGAGGCAGGAGAGCCCACCGCCCTTTCCTCACTCATGACCGTGGGCACAGGGCCTCGCCTCTCTGCACCTCTGGGGTCTCGTCTTGAAACAACGTCATCAGGCAGGGTGGCTGTGGGTTCCGGGTGAGAGCATTGAGCCCCGTGTCTACCCAGCACACGCCAGGTGCTCAGCCAAAGTCTGTGCCTTTCTTCCTCCTCTTACCGTGCACGAGGGTGTGGGCCTTGTCCCAGGGATTTCCCCAGGGGGACCAGGAGGGGTTTCAGGACATCACCTGGAACCCCCTCCCCCAAACTGGCAGCCCCCGATGGCAGAGCCCTGTCACCTAATCTGCTGCTCTGAGGACCCCTGTGTGGGAAAACGATCGGGGTGCTCGTTTAAAATGCAGATTCCTGAGCCCAGCCGAGCGGGACAGACTCCTCACTCTTTTGACAAGGCTCTCCAGTGACTGCTGGTCCCTGAGGTTGGATCTCTGCCCCAGAGTCCCGAGCTCCTGGATGGGCACAGGTGGCCGGCTCAGGAAAGGCGCCAATTGCAGGAGCAAGGACTTCGCTGAGAGAAAAACCAGGAGAGGGTGCTCGGCTCCCACCAGTAGGGGGCGCTGTGAGCCTTCAAACCACCTGGCCGCCCACGGCTGGCCTGCCAGACCCAAAGGAGGGGATTTCTGAAGGTTCTCCCAAGGGCCACACTTGGGTTTGCAAAAATTTGCATGCTGTTTGACAACTATGTACTTCTTATCAAGTAATTGCACAGGCCGTCAGCTCTTAGCTTTCCTATTTTTCTCTCTTTTACTCACCCTGTCATCGGCCTGGGTTCTCCCTCGACAAGAGGGCAGCAGGGACAGAAAGGACAGTCAGAATCAGAGCTCAAAGGGGCCTCTTGAACCCTCCCTGGATCAACCCCTCCTCTTCTCAACCAGGAAACAGCCCCGGGGAGGTGAAAGGATGTGTCCAAGGTGTGGGGAGCAAGGTACTGGGAGCTGAGATCCATCCGATGGCTGTTCTGATGATGCTCTGAACGGTCCCCGTAGGATTCACTGTAGGACAGGGATCCTTTCCCTGGATGGGGCCCTAAGGGAATAGCTAAAGTGACTTCCTCCCAGATGACAGTGCCCAGTGTACTAGGATTGCTCGTTCCAACCTTGGGGACCCCCATGCTGCCAGGAACATGACCCTCTGGCACACAGAGTCCTGCTGATAAGCTTCTGCTGCCTGAGAGGAGGCACTAAACCAGTCAAATGTTTGGGAGGCTGGAGGCCACAAAAAGGGGCTTTGGGGAGGGGAGTCTCTGCTTCTTGCCCTGCCTTCGAGGGAAGAAAGCAGAAGGGAGAGGAAAGGTCTCTTAAGGGACTTGAATTCCAGGCCCTCAGGGCTGGATGCCCATCCAGGTACACAGAGGCTGTGCTGGACGAGGCCACGCTGTGTGTTTCCTTATGATGGAGCAGGAATAGGGTGACCTTGAGGGCCATCCCTCGTGCGTGCCGCTGCACTCTTGCACTTGCCCTTCTCTCTCTGTCTCTGACTCTCTCTCTCTGGGTGCCAGGCACTCAGGAGACGAGCTGGCACAGGGCACTGTCCCTGGCTGTTTGGCTGGCTCCTGGCACCCCATGCAAACACTCAGGGAGCAGCGGAAGTGTCAGTGACCTGTTCAAGTCATCCAAGCAGGGGAATCTGATGCTGAGACTCCCTAAAGGAGGCAGGAAGGGATAAGACAATGGCCTTTTGTTTCTATGGAAACAGCACCTCAGGGTGAGGGGCTGAAGGAAGAGAAAGCTTCTACTTCACCTCCAGTCAGGACGTGGGAAAGAGCCCCTTTTGTGGTTGGGCTCGCCCCTCCCCCTCTCTTCCCTGCCAGGTGTTCACCATGGCAACCCTTCTTCCAAACAAGAGGTGCAGGGCAGCAGAAGCATCCGGAGCTGGGGGAGCCAGGGAGCCCAGGGGGAATGGGCCGGGCCCAGCTACCCCTCCCTGACAGGACACGGGCCCTGGCCTCGGTTTGTGTCCCGGCCCCACTATCACTTACTGTGCCCTGGGACCACTTAATTCACCTCCCTGAGCTTCCATCTGCCACCTCCGTGGTTCCTGTGAGGGCCAAGTGAGAGAGAGAGCACCTGGTGAAGGACTCGGCACACGGAGGCGCTCAGTAAATGCTTCCTGGCCAGGCGCAGCTCTAGCCCTGGCACTGCTGCTGTGCCCAAATTCTCGGAGACTCCAGGCCTGTCCTGACTTTAAGAGGCGCAGACTGAGTGCGTCAGGCTCTCTAGCAGGGCTGGGGCATCAGTCTTTGGGAAGACTTGCACTCCAGCCAATGTCAGGTCAAAGCTGGGGCCTTGAGGGACACAGGAATTCTGGAAGCACTCAGGCTGCCCAAGGTAAGTCCCTGCCATTACCTACCTGGCCAGCCAGGGAGCCCAGCCTCACCGCTGCAAAGCCCCACAGCCACGGAGGGAGAAACCCCAACATGGAAACCCCTTTGACTCAGCAATGCCGACATGAGAAAAGGTGCCAGCAGTGGCCCTGGCTGTCACCACCAGCCAGAAGAGGCCACTCTGGAGACTGTTCCAGAGAAAGAGATAAAGGCAGAGAGACAACCAGAAAGATGCCACCAGGAACAATCTCTCCCAGAAGTAAACAGCCTGACAAATACCACTGATCAAATAAACACAGGGAGGAGCCATGTCAAACTACTTACAACAGAAACAAGGAAAAGTGGGCCAGGGCATTGGTGCGGTGTGTTTGACCAGGTCAGATCCTGACGGCAACGGATCCAGCAAGGAACAAGGTTTGCTGGAACAAGCCCTAGAGTCAGAGCCCTAGTCTCAGACTATTCCGTGCCCAGCACTGTTCTGAGCACTTCATATCCTCAGAACAGCTGGGCGAGGCAGGCATCACTTTCCCCTTTTAGAGAAGAGGAAACTGAAACTCCGGCCTGCAGTGGCTGGCCCCAGGCCACACGCAGGCAAAGGCCAGAGCAGGATGGGAATTGAGGACCACAGGGTCCAGAGCTGATGTGCTCTCCCTGCCGGGAGGCGGCCTTCTTGCAGAATCAGCAGTGCTCCTGGACCAGGGCCAGAGGCCTGAGGAGCCCTGGGCCCAGTGGGAGGGACTCACCTGAGACGTCGCCACTGGAGCCCTGGTTGGGCCTCTTCCCCGCCATAAACTCCGCTTCGGCCAAGGCCTCGGGGGAGGGGGCGCTGGCCGTGCTATTGGGCGCTGCGGGCCTCTTGGACCGCCGGCTGAAGAACCTGCTGCTGAAGCGCCTGCCCTCCTTGGCCGCGGTGGCCTCCCCATTGACAGCTTCTCCCCTGCCATTTTGGGCAAGGGCGTCCTGGGGTCTGGGCTTCAGGTCCACACGCAGGTGGGAGAACACCCTGCCATCCCGACTCAGCTCTCCCGAGAGAATGGGCTCCACGGGGGGCAGCACCTGCTCCAGCGTGACCAGGTCGTGCAGGAAACTCTCCAGGCGCCGTGCTAACTCGCCGCCCTTGCTGCCCTCCTCCTGCCCCTCTGCATTGCGGCTGGCCTCCTGCTGCTGCCGGGCAGCCCAGCGCATCATCTCCCCGGGTGGGTGGTGGCTGCCCGTCACCAGGGTGTACTTGGGGTTGATAAGCTTGCGAGCCACAGTGGAGGAGTAGTTGAGGCCCAGCCTGCCAGCGCCTCCTGCCAGGCCCAGCTGCTGGTACAAGTCCACCTCCTCGGAGATGGCGTACAGCTCCCGGAACTCCACATCGAAGGGCTCCACGTTCTGCCCTGTCAGGAGGAGGAGAAGGTTCCTGTCCACATGGGAGGAACTCCAGGTGAATCTGGGAACATGGGGACAGAAAAGCAACATACATGTGCCCGGGCCTGCAGCCTCGCCCTGCCAGCCGCCCCTCGGTGAGCCCATCTCAAACCCCGCTGCCCAGCCCGACCTGCTCCACCACTGAGGCTGGATGCCTTGCTGCCTTCGTGCTGGGGTGCCCTCCCTCCACAGACCCAAATCCTCCCTTGGTCCAGGTCTTGGCCTCAAATGCAGAAAGCAGGCAGTGGGTGTAGGGCAAGGGCAAGAGAAGTCAGGTCTGGATTCAAACCTGCTTTCTGCCCTGCGTGCCTTGTCAAATGGGGCTTGTAAGGCGTACCGTCACAGAGTTGCTGTGAGGCTCAAAGTCCAATAACGAATATAAAAGGTTTCGCTCAGTACCTGGCACAAACGTACATTTAATAAGTAGTACCTATAGCTGCCACTACTGCTAATAGTATTCCATTCCTTAATAGCTCTCCTCTGAATTTTTAGAGCACCTAGCGTCTGCAAAACCCCAGACTTCAACCACATAAGAGGACCGACGCCATTTATTAATTGTGTCATGTGCCCGGGTCTCTTCCAGCCTCAAAAGGCAACCAGCTGTTGTGGACCATGCAAGGCAGGCGGTGCTTAATGCTCAACAAAAGTTGACCCTCTTTCTTGAATAATCCATTAGCCAGAAAGTTTGAGGGAAGGGACTGGCCAGGAGGCTATTCTTTGCTATCAGAATAGACAAGAGCTCTTAAACTCATGACTGTGGAGGCTCTAGTCCAGCATCTTTCTGAACATGAACACTTGTGACCATGAACAAAGGCCTCCCAGGCCCTTCTCTGACCTGGCCCAACTCACCTGTAGGATCCAGTGGCTACTTTATCACCGTCTACCATTAGGAACTTGGATGACAGGGTCCCCTTGATCTTCCCCATGGGCATGTAAAAGCCAACACCTGTCACAGAGCGGACACGGATGTTCTGTTGAGAAGAGGAGAAGGGCACTGTCACTCAGGTTGGGGCCCTAGAGGCTCTAAGCTGAGTCTCTGCATGGGTGGAGGATGAATCCTCTTGTCCACGGGACCCTGACTCTGCTTCCTACGGCCTGAGGAAGTCAGCAAATCTGGCCTTGGGCTCAGACGGGCCCAGCGTGGCCCCAGTCTGCTCTCAAAGCTCTTCAGAAGAGAAACACAGCCCTGCCTTCAACCCTGACAGTGACTCTGCGGGCTGAGCGCCCGGGACTAGGCTGGAGCTGCCTCCTTGGCCTCAGCAGCCTTGGGGTAAAATGTAAGCCAGTCGTGCAGTGAGGGTTAGCAGTTCACGAGGCAAGGCTTTAGACAGAAGGAAAGGGGTTGAGAGTGCTGTTCACCGGGGCCCCTGAACTGGGGAGCAGGCAGAGGGAGGGGCAGAGGCAGTCTCCATCCCACTTCCTCCCCCCCTCCCACCCCCAGTCCCAGTGATACAACTTACCCGAATACGGAAGTCAGCGAGCTCCAGGCCCTGACACATCTCCAGGAAATACTTCACGCCCGCCTCGTCCAGGATGATGTACACTGGCACGCGGCGCTTGGAGGCAGCATCCACAATGTCTTGGAAGATCTCACCATCAGTGAAGAGGTCCATGACCACAGCAATGACCTGGACAGGGAAGGGCACTAGTGAGGCACGTGGTGACTACACACATACAGAGTCACACTGCGGCCCACAGAGGACCAGCTGGGCTGGGGTAAGTGCTGGCCAAGAGTCAAAAATGCCATCTGCACCACTCCTGGGTTTTGCACATCCCCACCCACCTCTGAGCACATGTGAGCAGGAGATGGGCTCCCTGCTCTGGGAAATGAAGATGGTGCAGAGGGTGTAGGCCATGCTGCTTGTACTTCATCCTTGGCAAATTCCCACCACCCACCCTGGGGATTTTCCAGCAGCTCTTCAGAAGCCACGTCAGTGGAGATCTAGGAGGCTGAGGAAAGTTGGTTCTGGTGCCTTCGGGAAATAAGCAGGTTCAAGGAGCTGCAGTCACTGAGAGGCATGAAATGGACCATTTCCACAAGCTGCAGATCTGCTCAGATACCACTTTCTTTGCAGACCTGGGTGCTTTGATCTCCCTGCAGCTGTGCAAAGCCCTGTGCTTCCCTGAGCACATATTCGGGCAGAGCTCCAGTTAGCTCGGGCTCCCTTGGCCTCCAGGTGTCCAGACCATCCCACTTCATCCTCAAATCAAGGTCCCTGCCAGGACCCTTGATTTCCAAAAGCCAGCCTTGATTATCCATCCTGGAAGGCGAGGCCTTCCGCAGCCTGAGGCGGATGTGCCTTTCTGACCTCAGCCTCCTCCACTTTCCTACACAAACCTTCTGCTCCAGAGGCAGGGTGTTCTTGTTGGCCCCAAGCACTGTGCCCATGATGCAGAGGAAAGTATGTGCTTTGGGGTCAGAGAGATCCGATTATAACCACTTTCTATTTATGTAACCTTAGGCAAATCCCTTAACTTTGATGAGCCTCTGTTTCCTCATCTGCAAAGTGGGAATACTCTGTACTTGATACATTTGGCATCAGGATTAAAAATAACATCTGTAAGCATCAACAATGCCTGATATGTAGGTAAGTCTTCAATAAATGGTAACCATTGTAAGGTCGAAGGAGTCTGCTTGTCGTTGTAACTGAAAGCCCGAACGCTGAAGCCAGGCAGACCAGGCCTGGTTCACTAACTCCACTGCTGACTCATCAGTGCCCCAGCTTCCTTGGCAGCAAAATCGAGCTCATAGTAGCACCTGTCTCAAAGGGTTGTTGAGAAGGCTTAGAGAAGCAAACTGTGAAAGCGTTTAGCACGGTGCAGGCACATGTTAAGCTCAATAAGTGTATCCTCCATCACCATCATCATCATCACAATCACCATCACCTTCACGTGTGCTCTGCCATTATCTCTGCCTCTAAAGACCACCCCCCAACACCATTTACACAATATCACATAAGGCCCTTCTTACCTCTTACATCTAATACCCAATCATTCATACAAGTAACATTTACAAAGCCCCACAGGCAGAGGGAGGATCTAAGGACAAACAAACTACAGTCCCTAACTTCAAGGGGTTAATCCAGTTGGAATCATAAGACATTCGCACAAAATAATAAGACATAAGGTAAAATGAGACAAATGCCTTAAGAGATGCACAAATGATGTGTGATGTGAGTTCTAAGGAGGGGTGGTAGGAAGAGAAGGAGGGACTTAGGGAGGGGGAGGGTTGAAAGATTACTTTCAGCCAGGGGAGAACAGGAAAGGTTTCACCGAGGAAGCTGAAACCTGAAGAATGGGCAGTCTTGGGTGCCATAAGAAACGAGCAGGGAATAAAACCAAGCAGGGAAGTGGGCAAGGCTGCCATGCATGGGTATGCAGGTGTGCACTGCACACAGGCACTGGGCTGATGGGGGTGAGTGGGAGCTGTGCCTGCCTGAGGAAGAGATGCCTTTTCCTAATCTGCGCACAGGCACCACATGGGCTACCAGGGGCCCAGGAGGTGAACATTTCAGGCAAAGAAAACAGCACAAGCAAAGGCACTGAGGACAGGCATGACTGACAGAAACAGAGGAGATGCAAATAAAATACTGAATGAAGAAAGAGAAATAACTACAGATATATTTACTTTTTAAGAAATTCTTACTATTTAAGAAATGGTAAAAAGACTAGGAATATTTACACGTTGATGACTTTGAAAATGAAATTGACATGGATAAGTCATTAAAAGTGAATTATACATATCAACTATAGTTCAGTTTTTTAAAAAGTAAATTAAATACAATACGGCATAATCAAATAAGGTTATCCTAAAAATGAAAGGATTATTCAACATCAGAAACATATCAATTTATAACATTTATAGTGCCAAAGAGGGAAAATCATATATTATCTTAATAAGTTTTTATAAAGTATTTGATAACACTATTTGTGATTAAAACTCTCAAAAAACTAGGAATAGATGGGACCTTCCTTAATGTCATAAAGCCTAACTACTAAAAACCCTCATGAAACATACATACTTAAAGTTGCATTCCCTTTAAGTCTTAAGCAAGTCAAGAATATTCACTTATCACCACTGCTGTTCAACAAGGTATTGGCGGGCCTGACCAATGCAACATGACAAGAAAAAGAAATGAGACAGAAGGATTAGAAGAGACAAAACTACCAGTATTTAAGGATGATATTTAAAGAAAAAAAAAAACCCAGCAGAATGCAGAGAAAAACTATTAGAAGTAATAGGAGAATTTGGCAAGATTGCCAGATACAAGAAAAACTTACAAAAACCAATAGCATTTTTCTACTACAGCAATAACCAATTAAAAAAAAAAGAAAAGAAGGTCCATTCAAAATTGCAACTTAAGCACATAGTATTTAGGAATTAATACCTTTATGGAGAAATTTAGAAAACTCTATTAAAGGACAGTTACAAACATTTGAATAAATGAAAAGATAAATTGTGTTCATGGATAACATGATTTAATGTTTTAAAAATCCAGTTCTCTTCATATTAATAAAATCCCATGCAATTCCAATGAATGGTCAGTAAAATTTTTTGAGGAGTTCAAATATTTCTAAGATGTGAGGAAGAATGAAGATTCAAATAGCTAAGTCAATTTTGAAAAAGAAAAGCTAAAAGGGGACACTTGTCCTACTAGACAGTAAGACATACTGCAGAGCCAAATTAATAAGAATTGCGATACTGAGATAGGAAGGAACTGACAAATAGACCATGGGACAGAATAGAGAGACCAGAAGTATATAGGTACCTACACACATATATAAAACTTTAACTTAAAGTCTTAACTTTAAGGCAGAATCACAACTCAATGGAGAAAGGATGCTGTTTAGTAGATGCTATTGGGACAACTGGCATACTAAATGCAGAAAAATAAAATGGATCCCTACCTCACACCATATATAGGTGAATTTCAGGTAGGCTGTATACCTAAATGCAGAAGATACAACTAATAAAGGAATTCATGAAATATAGGAAAATATCTTCATGGCATAGGTAAGATGGGATTTCTTAAGATTCCAAAAGCATGAATCATAAGACAAAATTTTAAAAGAGGCATTTGGCAAATTAGGGATTTTCTGTTCAAAGAAAGATGTCAACAGACAAAGATAACCGACAGGGGGAAGATATCTGCAATGTCTACAACCAAAAGGAACTAATAATACACAAGAGATGCCTGCACATCAGCAAGAAAAAGACAGAAAACTAATTAGAATAATGGGCAAAGGATATGAATAGGCAATTCCTAGAGGAGATACCTGAATGGCTAATAAGTATGTAAAGAGAAGCAGACCTCATTAGTAAGCAGAAAGATTCAAATTAAAGCAAAGAGACAGTAATAATAACGGCACATGAAGTGTAACCTTTAAAAATTATATAAAAATTTTAAATAAATTTAAAAAAAGCAAAGAGATAAGAGAGATACCACTTTACAACTATAACATGAACTAAAAACTAGAAAGTTGGATAGTCCTAAATGTTGGCGTGTGAGGAAAGGGGAACCCTCATTCACTGAGGGTGGGAGGGAACACTGGTACAGCTATTTCCTAGGGCAAGGGGCAGAGCTTCGTGGATTTAAGGTTGTGCATGCCTGGAAGCCAGCAACGCTACTCTCGGCTACACACCCAGGGATCCTCTTGGATCTTTGCACAGGTCTATAAGGGGGCAGGAACAAAGACATTCACTGTAGCTTTCTTCGGGATAGCAAGGAGTTGGCAGCAACCTGGATGTCCATCTCTAGAAGAATGGATGTGGAGAATGTGAGGGATGCTCCGGACAGAGTGCTCTGCAGCAGACAGAAGCAATGAACGAGTTCCATGTGCAGAACCTGGGTAGTTCTTTTTAAGATGAATGTTAGAGATAGAGATCTATAGCCTAATACCATTTATGTAAATAAAAACACACTACATAAAATAACCCTGCATGTTTTTCAAGGATACGGACATGTCCAAGGACATACACTGAATATAGGAGGGTGGCTGCCTATGGAAGGAGAAAGGGACGGGAGGGAAGGAGAGAGTAAAATAAGAGGGGCCTTCCCTGGATTGACAATGGCAGTGGACCATGAACTGAGGCTCACAATCAGCTCTGCACTTGAGGTCCAAGACAAACAGACAAACAAACAAAAAACAATTGGCCTGGAACAGTTCAGGGTAGGTGTAGCGTAAGGACAACGGGGTGGGGCTGGATCACGGAGGGTTTTAACAATCCACTTTAGGCTTCATTCCAGCAGAACACAGCTCGCACCATCTCAGAGGCCTCCTGATAGCTCCCAACTGCTGCCTGAGGCCAGAGTCTACTGTTTGCTCATTTCCAGACTCTCCACAGTGTCCAGCTCAAAGCTGACTCTCAGTATGTTGCTGGGGAGGGCTTCACTGGCTCAGGAAAGCGCTTCTGGATTCACTCTTGCTTTTGTTTTGTAATTGAAAGCGCAGGGAGCCTGCTCGCCCTCACCCCCACCCGACAGAGGATATGCTGTGAGAGCAGCACAGACTAGAGAGAGAGATGTCCTCAGGGGCCCTGCTTCCGGGAGGCTTGGTCTGCGGTGCCCTGGTCAGAGCCAGCCATCTGTGTCACTACCAATTAAGCAGTGAAATATCTGTAGTAGGA